TCAATTTGTACTACTTTTAATAATAAAAAAGTATGCATATATTATTAAATTCATTTAATTTTATTAATATATTAAATAAATATTTACTAATGAGTAAATATTATAAATAAATTATTAAATATATAATAAATAATTAAATATAAAATAATATAATAATATGTACTTTTAAAATGTTACGTATTATAATAATATTTATTTATTAAAATAATAAATAATAAAAAAATACTAAATATAGTAAATAATAAAAATTACAATAAATCTATAATTAAATAAAGCGTATAAATAAAATCATATAAAATATTTTTTATGTATCAATTTTAATAATTTTTAGTTCATAATTAATATATTATATTATTTATTAGTTTATTTAATATATGTATGTTACTAGATATTTATTTATTCATTATATTATTTAAAATTTTTTGGTAAATATTATTACTTATTAAATTATTTAGTATATTTATTTATTATATTATTTAATACATTTATTTATTATGTTATTTGATAGATGTATTTATTTAGTAATTTTTTTTATTTCTCATATTTTTTAATATATTTATTTATTTGATCAATATTTATTTAATACACAAAACAAATAATTATATTATTTAATATATTATTTCATAAATTTTATTATTTAGTAAATATTTTTTAATATAGATATAAAATTAATCATATTATTTATTATATTTATTTAATAAATATTATATTATTTAATTTACGTATTTATTTAGTAAATGATTATTTATTTATTATACTATTTAATATATTTATTTATTTGGTAAATATTATAATATATTATTATTTAATATATTTATTTATTTGGTAAATATTTATTTAATATTCAATAAAATTTAATTAAGTACGCTAAATATTTATTTAGTAAATAGTTAAATACTATTTATTTATTAAATATTTAACAAATATATAGTTATTTAATATCAACATCCTTCAATATATTTATTTAATATATATATAATATATATATTTAAAAATGATGAATAAAATTATAATATATTATTTATTATAATATCTAATATTTTTTTATTTAGTAAAATTATATTTAATATATAAAAAAGTTTATTAAAATCTAAAGTAGTAAAAATTGAATAATATATAAATATTTGATAAAAACTATGTTCGTGGATATATAATTAAAGCTAAATAATTAAATAATGGGTGCTAGCTCAAGTGGTTCACAGCTCCTTTTATGCCCCATTGGACCTGGGTTCGAATCCCGTTCTTATCACATTTTT